ATTTAGCCAAAGCAATGTAAGAAGAACATGCTTCGTGGGTCCACTCTCGGCATGTGTCGCACTGGATCCAGTCTTCCATTGGAGGCGAAACACATTGTTCGTGATAGAACAAGAAAAATGCGAAATAGGCTAATAAGAGTGCCTATATTTGCCGAACAGATAGCAATGCCAGAATAGACCCAAGCTGAATAGTGTCCGGCGGCATGACGGCACCGCCGCCACATTGCATAAATTGGGTGATTGATGGATTAAGTGAGATTAATTGTTAGACAATTTAAGAAAGATCTCATTATAAAATTAAAAATTATGTAAATTATATTTTAAAAAATTAACCCCTTTATATAATACAAAGTAACTGTGACTTCATCTGCATAATTTTGATATTTCCTTGTAAATTTCGGGTTGGCTATAGATTTTAATTATGTTTTCAGTTTAGGAGGCTTGTCAGGGCTAAGCGTGAACCTTTTGCACTGTTTTTGAATGTCGGAAATGTGTTTTGAATTAATTACGATAAAAATAAATTTCACTCAAAATTCCGTATAACGAAACGCAAATATGACAATTTTGTATAGTGTTATGAGATTAGATGTCAAAAACCGATGTAAAAAGTGTGATACGGGACGGTCTTGACGGCCATAATTTGAGCAACCATAAATGTCAAATATAATATATTATCTATGTCATTCCGTTTATCTAGTGGTCACGCGAATGTTCTTTCTTTTGCTTGAGTGCTTGAAATTTTATAACTGGGTGTTTTGACGACGAAAAAAAACAACAGCTCATGAATGCTTTTGTTGTTACACAATTGTTTTATCTGATAAATTACATTGTCTATTATATTAACGACGGCGAAGTGTGGGGCGTTCCCCCACTAGATGGAGTGGCGACCTGGTAAGATATACAGGAAGTCGATGGATGCAGGTGGCTCAGGACCGTGCTTTGTGGTATTCCTTCGGGGAGGCTTATGTTCAGCAGTGGACTTGTGAAAGGCTGTAATGATGGTGAAATGATGATTAAACTTAAAAAATATCGAAATTGATGGGAGTTCGATAATTTTGTGAGAAAATATCGATATATCGATATTTTTACCCAAGCCTAATTATAATATAGGATGTATATATAGACAGTCTACACAAAAGGTTTTATATAACTGATATGTTATATATTATATGTATACCTTGCAACATAATACGTAGTTTCTCTTTTTTTTTCGAAACTAATTTAATTAAAATAATATTTCACTATTTACGGTTGGTAACTTCCTCCGGTTAATCAAACAGCTATAGGAAACAAAAATTGAGTTAGTCCTTTTTTCCGTTCAAACTGTTTATATTTAACAGAGTATATAATACTCAAATAAGGGACAGTTTCTTCTATAATTATTTATGACCTGTTAACTGACTATTTGGATTATAATTTAAGTTGTTTTGATTGTGTATGTATATAGTGTGAATTGAAAAGGTGAAATGAAATTAATGAATGTGTACTATACTACTACTATATTCTACTACTATACTCATGTAAACTTGCTTTTACCTTTACTTGCTTTAAAATGTTAGGTCTGTTCGCTACCGGTACACGTCATCAGAATCCAGTCACAAATATGTTTATAATATACTGATTTTTTTACTTAAGTTCTCTAAAAATGTGGTAGTGACTCAATTGAATTTATTAATAGTGATCAATGTAGCTCCGAATGGCTATGTGTTGTGTGTTGCGACCCAGAAGGCCATGGGTTTGAATCCCGCATGAAAAAACTATTTGTATGGCCTACAAATAATTGTTTCGGGTCTGGATGTTTGTCCATGTGAAATTTATGTTTGTAAACTGCCTCCACGATACAGGGGAAAATATTGTGTGGGGGTAACGTTAATTAAAAAATTGAGGTATTAAATAAAATTAGAGACTGAATTTTTTTCCAAATCGACCCTTCGATATTTAGACTTACTTCTTTGTAGAAATGATTTTCCATAACTCCTCACGTTTGTCAAGTACGTTATCGTTGATCGCATACCAGCTTAGTTAGCCAAGATGACTTTCCACAACGGTTAACGCTATAGAAAACTGTAAAAATGAATTGGAATGACATATCTGAGCGTTAAGTTACTTGACCTAGAAGTTTTATTCACTTAATAATTTCATATAGTGCTAACTATCATAGAATGTCAATTTTTTCCTCCTTTTGGTACAAACAGTCAATAGCCGCCTTTTCACACGCTCTGTAACTCGTGAATCGGCTTTTGAGCGGGGAAAGAACGCTCATGTTAGGCATGGGCAAAAAAATATATCGATATATATCGTCGATATTTTAAATCACGATATATGGACATATCGATATTAATTTTAGAGTATCGAATTCGTATCAATTTCGATATATTTTAAAATGTTGTATCGTTTTTTTCGTCGTCCAACCGTCAGTAGAGAAAATTTTGGACCTTATCTTTACATCATTCAAATGATGACGATATATCGATATTTATCACGCGATATATATCGATACTGTTTAAAAATATATATTCGATATATATCGATATATTTTTTCCCTTTGCCCATCCCTAGCTCATGTAAATATAGAAAAGGAGAACGAGAACTCAGTCATGCGTTCAAGTCTGTGCAATGCGCTTCAAAAATAATTTACACGCGCGGTTTTTTGAAAACGATTGTCGTCGTAAAACGGCGGACATTAGATTATAGTATTATTTCATGCATGTCATTTTATATTTGATTTTATTTAATATATTATTAAATAAAAATATATACATATACACCATAACTAATCTAATCCTTTTTCAATTGTTTAAAACACTATATATAATATATATATATATGCTATACACATTAATCGCACTAAGTCATCTTGGCTAACCCCGCAAAAACCTGCAATTGGTAATTTCTGAAACTAGTGGCAAATGTTTCAACAGATCATACATAAATTTTAGTTAATGTATAACAAAATAATCTGCATCATAAAACACTTTTCACACAATAACACTGAATCACATATTATACGTGAGTAGGTGCTCATAATAACGAGGGATTAGCGTTTGCGCTCGTGTAGATAGGCTCTTAAACGTATATAACGTAACGTGCCCGTTTTATATTTCGTATCAATTACTTCCTTTTTTAAACAAATTAATATCAGATATGTAATCATCCAAATGCTACCCTATAATAAAAGATTGATGCTTAACCTATATTTTTTTTCTGTTTAATTGATATGTTTGTTAAGTAACCTAAGGGCCGATTACTATCGTCGGATAAAAGTTATTTAACAAATATATTGCAATATGTCTGAATATAAAAGTCAAACAATTGCACTATTTTTTATTTATACTTACAACTGTAATTTTCAATTTGTTTATGTTGTATTTTCTCCTATATAAATAAATTTTAACTGAGGATTGAATATTCGGTCCATAACCCTTTCGCTGTCCCGTGCACTACATAAATAGGTCATTGCTATTGTCTTGATGTTGTGTCTGAAAACCGGACAGTAAGTGTTAATGTAATGACAGTAAAAGTGGAGTAAAACATGTATGTAAATAGTTTATTTTTTAAATAACGAATTCCTTTTCTAAATTAGTGTATTATTTGTGTGCCTCAAAGTGTGTTGTATAAAATACCTACACACGTCCCGACCGTAGAATCAACAGAAGGGACTTGCAGACAAATGTAACTGTCTCTTTTCTTCGTATAACTTTGTCCCTCACAGTTGACCTTGGGTCGGGATATGCGTAGTAATCTTTAAGACTTGGGCAGCATTTGATCGAGTTCCAAACTGGGTGGCTGCGTCTAGTTCGTTATAGTTGTAGATAATGTTTGTATAAGGCGCGTAGGTAGCGATATTTAAATTGACTGCGACTGTAAGAATCGCAGCGTTTCTCTGTAAGCGAACGGTGTATACAAAATTATTCTCAAACATTTAGGCCAATGTACCGGATGTCATGCAGGAGAAATAAATAAATCTTATGAAATCCAAGCGTTTTGTTTTCTTTTTTAAACCCAGCCTATATCATAGTGATATATTCATAGAATCAGATCACAGCTACAACACACTGTGACAACAGTATTACAACTGCATTGCAAAAGAGTGAATAGAATGTAATCTATTCTACTATCATCCTTATTTTAAACGTGGTAGATCCAGGCGCAGCTGTCATTTTTGTAACACGAATGGGTTGGATCAAGCGGGGAATGACCACGCACAGAATTCCAATAATTGACCAGCTATGGTACTGTAACGGAACGGAATTTGGAATGGATTGGGCGAAGATGGAATGCCTCGTTTCAAGTAAAAAGGGTCTCCGGTTCTCTACATTCATCACACGAAACAGCAGCGTTGAGCTGCTATTATACGCTGATATTATATGACAGCGTGGTTCTTGCCCGGTCGAGCCAACCTGTTCGTGCTACAACTGTACTACTAATATAGCTCTCTCTTACTATCAGATGGATTGTGAGCACGCTTGTCGTCAATCTCTATACATAGTGATTTATACAGGCTGTCCCAGTAATGGTGGATAATCTGGTACGTGCGTGTTTGGGCGGGGGGCAGGTGGCCTCGGTTCCCTAAAAAAAAATCCTATCCCGAACGGTTCGCGCTCTACGCCATGTTTTATAAAATTTCGAAAATCCGTACTTCTGCTCACATTTGTGGAAATCACGTCCGCAGTTTAAGGACTAGATCGGATTTTTCATGTTACACCGGGCTGTTTGCACGACCGTGGCTTATGCACGACTCTGTGTTATGTGGTTTTTGTCAGCTAGTGATTTCATCTGTCGATAGACTTCACGCTTACATAAATATGCAATTTTCACAATTTGAATTGGCAGCTATTGCAATTGCCATCGATGATGAAGTATTGGAAAAACGAAGCGAAACTACTAAAAGAAGATGGGGTGTACATCCAACCTGGAGAAAGCGAAAAGCAGAAGGAGAATTTGCTTTACTTTACAAAGAATTAATAGATGATGAGAGCAAGTTGTATGGTTATTTTAGAATGTCTAAAGAATGCTTTACTTTTTTACTTGAAAAAGTAAAACCAGACCTAACCAAAAAAATTACAAGATTTCAAAAGCCTATATCTCCCATCGAACGATTAGCAGTCTGTATCAGGTAAATAATAAATTGATATGCACTAAATCACATAGTATTTAAAAATGTAGTATTACAAATTGACCCGTCTCACAACCATCTATCAGAGCTGGTTGTAAGATGGGTCGATTTTTTCTAAATACTTCATTTTCAATTTTTCAATAATCAAAATTGCATTGTGAATGAAAAAAAGTAAAAATTTAAATAATTCGCATAGTATTTATTCATTTCATTAGTCTGCCGTGAACTCTGAAAATAAAGTAGACAAATTATTAGATTCCAAAGGCGTAAGTTCCGAAGGCGAAGGTTCCGAAGGCGTAGGTTCCGTAGGCGTTGATTCCGGTGTTGGCGTTGGTGTAGTCATCGGAACCGGTGCATACACCGACCTTGAATTAGTAGACGACGCTGACGTTGTTCCACTCATTGGAGATGTGTAAGAAGAAGGCTCTGATGACAATTGCTCCCACTCCAAATCTTGTATTACTGCAAATATTCTTCCTTTTGCAAGATGCTGATAGTAAGGGGAAAAAGATTTTATGGTGGCTGCCAAACCGTTGAAGAAAGCATCAATAGGATGAATGTCTTGTGTGTTGGACTTTTCTTTATTTTTTAGAATGTATTCCATTAATGCGCTTGACGCAGAGGACTGGGATTGTGGCACTATACGACGGCGATTGTGTGCAGTTTCAACGGTTGCATTGCGATTGCGGTTGCCGGAACGAGTGAATTGTGCAGTTGACGGGGGATATGGATTCGGATCAGCAGGTGGCGTAAAATTTGGTTCACTAATAGCTGGTGAGCGATCTTCCTGCTGCTGCTGTTCATCGGTGTTAATTGTTTCGTTGGGCGTATAACTGGCGAAGTAACCGTTTCGTTTTGCGTCTCTTCGTTCTCAGACTCGATACTTGTTATTGTATTTCGATCCTGTATATGAGGCAGTAAAAAATTCAAGCTCTCTTCATATTTATATTTTTTTATTGCCACAGCACCCTGTCCACTCTTGGTTTTACGTTTGTTTCTATGTTTTTTGAACTGGTCCCGTATGTTTGCCCACCTTTTTTTACATACATCATCTGCAAAAAGATAGTATAGAATGAACAAGTTAAGTAATTTTCTTTACAACCTGTATAAATGGTACTGTTAATACGTAATAGCTCACTGTAGTACACAGATACCGCGAAATTATACCATTATTATTTTTTCAGGTTCCTGGCTACTGGGGATTCGTTTAAAACTATTTCGTACAGTTTTCGATTGGGGCATTCAACTGTGACCGAAATTGTACATAGCACATGTCGATCTATCGTTGAAAGATTTAAGAAAGACGTTATACCAGAACCAACAGAAGAAATGTGGCGTAAAATTGCCGAAGATTTTGAAAAGCTTAGAGGTTTTCCAAATTGTATAGGCGCATTGGATGGAAAACATTTTGTTATTGAAGCCCCAGCCAATAGTGGTTCTATATATTTTAATTATAAACACACATTCTCAATTGTTTTATTGGCGTTAGTGGACGCATGCTACAAATTTATTGCAGTTGATGTTGGCGCTTACGGACGAAACAGTGATGGTGGCATTTTTGCACAATGTAATCTTGGAAAACGTTTAGAAAATGGGACGCTTCATGTACCTATTGGTAAAAATTTACCCGGTTCCTCTACGTTTGCACCATATGTAATAGTTGGTGATGAAGCGTTTCCTTTGAAAACATACCTAATGCGACCGTATCCAGGACACCAAGCAACAGGTGACGCTAATAAAACGAATTTCAATCATAGACTGTCTTTGGCCCGGCGACTAGTCGAAAATGCCTTTGGTATTTTGACACAAAGATTTAGAATATTTCAAAGAAGAATGAAACTTGCTCCAGAAAATGTTGATTACATTATTCTATCTACATGCGTACTGCATGTAGATAGAATAATGCAATCAACATTTTCATAATCAATCAACATAATTTTTTATGCGAACAAAAAGATTACACAGGGCTTATCAATCATAGTGCACAAAATGCGCAACCACATTTATTAAATCCATTGAGCGTTCAACCAGTAAGACCGGCTAATGATGCATTTGCGGTAAGAGAAACGTTTAAAGAATATTTAGCGTCAACAGCGGGACGTAATTTTATAGGACAACAGTATCAAGAATAAATACATACTTACACTATAATATACTTCTTATAATTTACCTAACATATTCTAAAATACCTACTAAAAACCAATAATCCCACTCACATGTACTTACATGTTGTCGTAAAGTAATTAGTGACACTTGAATAACTATTATAAATGTAAATTGAAATAAAAGTTACAACTTACCAGATTGTTTTATTTCGTCCGAAATGGTTTTCCAAATAATATTTTTGTATTTGTTATCTAAATACTTAGGATGGCTCATATCGTAAATCACAGGGTACTTGCGCACACATTCTAATAATATTTCATCGTCCATTTTGCTGTTGAGCTGCTCACTTCACTAAGATTTGACGTTGACTGCTCTCCGGGCGCCCGGGCGCATATGTTCATGTTACAACGTGTCGGGGCCGGACCGTGCCGGAGCCGGGAAACAATACCCACCGACATTTCAACGCCGTGCCCCGGCCGAGTCCCGGCGGCGTACGGCCGGGCCACGGTCAGGCATGAATCGCTTCATACAAAAAGTACACCATAATGTTTGACCGTGCCCCAGCCGGGGCACGGCCCGGCCGCGCCACGTTGTAGCGTGAATCATCCTTAATGTTTGACCGTGCCCCGACCGGGGCACGGCCCGGCCGCGCCACGTTGTAGCGTGAATCATCCTTAAGTCGTATCGGTCCGGAAAAATCGCCGGTGGTAAACAATTCCACGGAGAAGTTATACGAGGAAGAAAACTCCTAGTAAAACGTACAGTCGTGTACTGCCAAGCATCCAGATAGTAAGGATGGTATCGTGAATTTTGACGTGATGTGCGTTCGTAAAATTTGGCGGCTGGAATTAATCCGAACAATTCCTCACAGCACTCCCCGTGGTAAATTCGATAGAAAATGCAAAGGGATGCAACATCTCTACACACTGCCTGTGTATCGAGCTGATCAGAAAGAACTCGGTCGTCGACGATTCTAACCGCTCTGCGCTGGATGCGGTCAAGTGGGAGGAGCTGGCACTGGGGTGCCCCGGCCCAGAGATGAGAACAGTATTCCATGTGAGGCCGAACTTGCGCTTTGTAAAGTTGCAAGCGATGTGCCGGCATGAAATAGTCTCGCTCTGCTGAGCACGCCAAACTTTTTAGAGGCCAATTTGGCCAAGTGACCACGAAACTGCACACTATTCGATATGTCGACGCCGAGGATTCCGATGCTAGCTGAGGCAGCAAGGGGAGTGCCTTGAAACTGAGGAGATACGACAAAGGGGTTCTTTTTAGCGGTAAACGCGTTAACTTGTGTCTTCTGGGGATTGAACTGGACTAGATTTAGTCGCTCCCAATCCGAGACTTTGTTCAACAAAGACTCGACTTCAGCCACAAGTTTGACCCGGTACTCGGCGACGTTTTCCCGAGAAATATTGCCACGGCCGGTATATATGCATCACCAGTGCTGTCGTCTGCATAGCAATGAATGTTACCAGTTTGCAACATATCATTGATATACAGGAGAAACAGCGTTGGTGATAGCACGCAGTTTTTTCGAATACTAGCCTTGATGCTCCGATCAGCAAGGAAACTGGTGATCCATTTGCACAATTTCTCGGGAAGACCATAGGAAGGAAGCTTCGAAAGAAGCGCTTTATGTCACACCCGATCGAAAGTCTTCGCTATGTCCAAACTAACGGCCAATGCCTCCCCTTTGGATTCCAATGCCTCCGCCCATCTATGAGTCAGGTAGACCAGAAGATCACCAGCTGATCGACCCCGACGAAAACCGTACTGGCAGTCACTAATCAGCTGATGATCCTCATGGTACCTCATGAGCTGGCAGTTTATAATGGATTCCATTATTTTGGAGAATAAGGAGGTTATGGCGATAGGCCTGTAGTTGGACGGGTCTGAGCGGTCGCCTTTTTTAGGGATCGGGTGGACCAAAGCTGTCTTCCATGAATTCGGGACTACGCCTTGGGAGTAGGAGTATCGGAAAAGACGCGTTAAAACCGGTGCCAACTCTGGAGCACAGGTATTCAGCACAATGGGAGGGACTCTATCAGGCCCACTAGACTTGCTGACGTCCAGGGAGAAGAGTGGTTTACGAACCGAACGCTGTGTAAATCGCACATCCGGTATGGAACACTCACAGCGCGGGATGGTCGGCGGTGTGTTCCCCCCGTCATCTAGAGTCGAGTTGGACGCAAAGATAGAGCTCAACAGATCGGCTTTCTCCTTTGCGGCATGGGCCACTGAGTCGTCCTCTCTGTGCAGACATGGAAGAGATGGCTGACAGAAGTTCCCTTGGACAGCCTTGGCGAGAGACCAGAATGCACGGGTTCCCGAAGCAAGGCGAACTACCTTCTCGCTAATTCTGCCGATGTGTTCAGACCTTGCCTTGGCAATGACGCTTTTGAAGGACAAGGTTAGATTATTGATGAGCTTTGTGTGATATTTGCCGACGATTTTTCCGTTGTGTTTTCTTATATTAATGGTACCAAACTTAATGAAAGAATCGACATAATTATAAACAAAGTAAAACAATGGCTAAGCGATCATAATTTAGAAGTCAATTTCAAAAAAACTAAATTAATACAATTCAGACCACGACAAAAACATGAACTAGATATAAATTATACACATAATCAAACAAAATTAGAATGTGTTCAAAATTTTTCTTTGCTGGGTATAAATATATATTCGAATGTTAATTTTAAATCACATATTCAAAAAATAAGTTAAAATTATTACAATTTATATATGCTTTAAGAGAATTAAAAAAATCTACAAATTTCAAAACGACAGTGACAGCCTTATCACGCCTACGCTCAACCGTGGCTAAACTACGGCGTCATACTGTGGGGCAACAGTGTAGAATCACACGAACTTTTTATTTTACAAAAAAAAATGTATACGCGTACTTGCAAATATCAAACAAAGAGAAAGCTGCAAACCTCACTTTCAAAGTCTCAAAATTCTAACATTACCGTACCTATATATATATATTAGAAATATGTAAAAAGACACTCAAGTTTTTACACCAAAATCATAGATGCGCCCCGACACAACGTACCTCGCTATAAGAATAACCTTTTGCAACCAAAATCTAAATTAAAATTACACAGTACAGGTCCTTACCCGATGTCAATAAAAATTTATAATAAATTGCCGGAATACATAAAAGCCGAAACAAATATTAATAAATTCATTAGATCTTTAAAAGATATACTTATTAAAAAAATGCTATTATTCAATTAATGAATACATTGAGGAAAAGAATTTTTAAGTGTCTGCCCCTCTCCTCTTCATTGCTATGCCTTTCGAGGTGCATGTGATTGTTAGAACTTGCATGTTTTGTTTAGTCTCTAAGTCACATGTAACGCAATTTGTGAATAAATAAATAAATAAAGGTTCATGGGCCTCTTGCATTGCGGAGCCGTAATCGTCGCGCTCTAGTATACAGTTATCTGTGGTCGCGCTAGGCACGATTACGGCTGCACAATGCTAGCCCAATTGACGATCGCAATACCAGACTTTTTTGACGCTGCTTTCTCTCGCCGGTCTGGATATTTTACGCCTGACGCAAGCTAGCGATCAGTAAGTTGAAGTGGCTAGTACCTAGAGGAAAATCTTCTACTGTTGCGTTATACAGTGAATCGAAACGCAAGTGACAGTAACAACCCGTGCCCTTAATAAAATTGAATTTAACAGATGAACAGAATTGGTCATAACGATTCAAGACTTAATCATACAATATCATAGAATAGAATAATTTTTTATTCAATATACATTACATGTGTAATTCTTATTGAAAGTCATTTTTTACTTTACCACTGGTTCGGAAAAAAAACCCTCTGTCCTGGGAAGAACCAGCAAGAAACCCAGCGGGACTTTTTTTTAAAATAAATTTTACAATATAAATGATTACGAACTATTTACAAAATTTATTATAGAAACTACTTGGAAGCGACCACCTCATTCCCAGGGGTTATTATCAACCATGTATTCATTTATACTATAAATAACCCTTTTTATACAGTTTCAGTTTAATGAAACACTTAAACTTGGTAATAGAGAGAACCTGTACACTTTCCGGGACCTTGTTGTAATAGCGTATACATTGCCCCAAGAATGAATTACTGACTCTGTGGAGTCCAGAAACTGGCATCACTAGCTTGTGTTTGTTCCTAGTGTTTACAGAATGTATATCACTTTTTTTACTAAAACTATCTTTGTTTTAGTGAACATACATTAAATTTTCGTAAATATACTGAGGCCAAAGTTAATATATTTATTTCTTTAAATTTATCTCTAAGAGACTCTCTCGGTTTAAGATTGTAAATAGCTCTAATGGCCCTCTTCTGTAAAACAAAAATAGTTTCTGAATCAGCCGCGTTTCCCCATAGCAAAATCCCATAAGACATTATGCTATGGAAATAATTGAAATAAACTAATCTAGCTGTCTCGGCACTAGTGAGACCTCTAATCTTTTTTACAGCATAGGCTGCAGAACTTAGTCTGCTTGCTAATTTGGATATATGGGGGCCCCACTGAAGCTTTGCGTCAAGAGTGATGCCAAGAAAAACAGTGGACACAACAGGGCTCAATTCCTCCCCATTTAAAAACACATTGGTATTCAGATTTTTAACATTCGTTGTTGTAAATTTTATACATATTTGTTACACATCAGTTATTTTGATTCTTTTCTCAATACAGAAATTTTATGTGATCCTTAAATTTTGTGAATTATATGCAGATACAATTAAAAGCAAGATTTTCATAACTGATTTCATTTAAATCTATATTTTCATCAACAAAGAGCTCTTGCTGCTTCCAGGATCAGGATCTTGGGCAAACACTACAGATGTCTAGGAGAAATACTCAGCTGTAAGGCTGCCCACTCGTATTTTTTTTAATTTACAATATAGTGCATAAGAAATATAACTAAATAAAACTAACAAAGTTAAATGATTATCCTATTTTATTTATTAACACTATTTACAATATCTATCTGCTTTCATCTTGCTTCTCCTATCCAACAGTGTTTCGTGCAGGTTGCCTTCTATTTTGGCCTTCTTCAGTTCCGATACACCACCATCGTTCAGGCGCAACTTCTTGTCTTGAAACTTTTGAAATTTCTTACTGTAAATATAAAAATTGATTGAAATATATTTCCATCTTTTTTTTAATAAGTAACTAAAGGATTGACCTTGTTTATTTGAGTACTTTTTGTACTTTTTTTTACGTGGTAGACTCATGCTGCAGCTATATTATGGTTGTAGCACGAATGGGTCGGCTCGACCGGGGAAGGACCGCGCTCTCACAGAATACCAGCGTAATAAAGCAGCTTAATGCTTTTTTAAATAAAACTAATTTTACGGATTTTATCGCGTATATTAACTTATTTTTATATTCCCGACGTTTCGGGTGCTTTCCAGCACCCGTGGTCACGGGGGACTGAGTTGTTTGTACGCGATAAAATCCGTAAAATTAGTTTTATTTAAAAATGTGTAGTGTTCGCGTAAATATAAGAAATCAGCTTAATGCTGCTGTGTTTCGAATGGTGAGTGTAGAGAACCAGAGACTCTTTTTACTGGAAACGAGGCATTCCATCTTAGTTCTCTTAGTTCACAATGTATCTGCGTTTTGATTCTTAATCGAGGATAGACATCGATGTCTATGGGCCACAGTATCCACTTACCATTGGTAGACTGTGTGACAAAAAAAAATTAAATTAAGGGATCTTCAACTGGATGGCAGTTTCCTTGTCTGTTAGTTTTGTTAAAATTAAAAACAATTTTACTACATGATAGGAATCCTTCTCCGCGTAAGAGTATGTTACATATGTGTGCATAGTTGCATATGTGCAAGTGTAAGTGTAGCTGTGACCACCACAGGGGTCAGTTGTGCAAATATATAAATATAAGTAGTTGTTAACTTCACTTGTGCCACCAATTCTTAAACTTAACAGAGTCCACCTCTGTATGTACCACTCTGTTACCTATTTCTGCCAGCTTGCACTGCTGTGTTGCGATCTACAGGGTATTAAGAGGCAATTTAATTACGAGGCAGAGCCATGCTACAGCTATATTGTAGTTGTAGCTCACTCAGGGAAGGACCACACTCTCACAGATATAGAGCTCAATGTTGCTGTTTCAAATAGTGAGTGTAGAGAACCAGAGACCCTTTTTACTGGAAATAGAGGCATTCCATTATAGTCCACATCTGCATTTTGATACTTAATCGAGGATAGATGTAAATGCAAAGGATCCATTTACAATCAGGTGGACTACTGTACTCGTTTGTCACCCTTACTCTATAAAAAAAAACACTACCAGGGTTGTGCAAATAAACAGTATGAAATAAGTTATTGTTTACTTTACTGTGCCAACGATTCTTGCACGTAACCATCGATATATATGTACTACGCACTAGATTTCGCATTTTGAACATTGACTATGTTCAACTGAACTGTATTCCAATCCGTACACCAAACTAAGTATTGCGTAAATTGAAGATTTGTGAATTGCATAAGATCATTATTATTACATTTTATTTACAAATATGTTTGTTTATATTAAAAAAAAGTATTTTATATTAAATTCTTATATTTGTTTTATATTAATATCTTATTTTATATTATCTCCAGCGCATGCGCGACGACACAGAGTAGCGCACAAGTTTTGTTTGGAATAGCCTCTCTAGTACATATAACTCAATGCACGTAACAGAGTCCATCTAGATGGGTATCACCATCTTATCTATTTCTGCTGTCAAATAGCAGTGCTTACACTGTATTACAGTGTGAAAGATATAAACAAGCCAGTATATTTACAGGCGATGTGGAATTTCATCTTAGTCCCACTCAGAAGAAGATCCACCATCAGAAGTTTGGGCCACTGCAACCACTTACCATCAGGTGGACAGTGGACTGTGTGCTCGTTTGTCACCCTATCCTATAAATAAAAAGTAATAACACATCTGTAGCCTACATTGCTTGTAGTTGGCTGCAAGTGTCCATGGACTGTAGCTAATTACCATCAGGTGGACTGTAAGTTCGTTTATCACTTCAGCTTTATAAAAAAAGAAAATATTCTTTAACAGATCTTACACATAGTTGACTTCGACTTCAGCCAGATCGCCCTGCTCCTCATCGGGCAGCACCACCTTGCCCGTCTCCCTGCTCTTATTGCTCCGTATGATGCAGAACTCGCGCTCGCCGGCTGTTAGGGAGGACGCCACTACCGAGTCATCCTCGGGATTCACTGACATGAACTTGTTTAACGAACTGAGTATTGCAGTTTGACCTGGGAACAGTTTAAACGAAACTAATTTTTACGGATTTTATCGCGTATTTTTTTTTAGGATAGGGTGACAAACGAACACACAGTCCACCTGGTAGTAAGTGGTTGCTGCGGCCCATAGACATCTACATCTATCCTCGTTTGCGAATCAAAACGCAGATGCGTTGTCACCCGTGAGGACTAAGATGGAATGCCTCTTTTCCAGTAAAAAGGGTCACCGGATCTCTACACTCACCATACGAAACACAGCAGTGTTAAGCTGCCATTTTACGCTGGTATTTTGTGAGAGCGTGGTCCTTCATGGGTCGAGCTGACCCATTCGTGCTACAACTATACTACTAATATAGCTGCAGCATGTTTCTACCACGTATAAACATTGTATATTAACTTATATTAAATTTCCAACAATTCGAATACTTTACAGCTCTTAAAATAAGTTAATATATGAGGTAAGATTTAGTGTCATTTAAATGTGTAGTGTTCGTGTAAATATAAGAAGACATTCTGGGAACAGTTTTCATTTATTTGTTCATTATGTAGCACCTCTGCAAACAAAGGCCTCTCACATAGATAGCAACATAGGGGGGAATTTGTCATAATTGCCACATTAGACAGGCGGGTCAACAACCTCAGTTATTTATTATTTTTAAAGTGACTACTTCGTTGCTCTAGTGGTTGTAAAGCGCTTGCTGACCATGAAGTCCCCGGTTCGAATCCCGGGTCGGGCCAGAATCAGTTATTGAGTTTTTCTGTCAAGAAATTCTCAGTAGCAGCCCGGCGTCAGGAAGTTGGTGGTGTTTCACCCCCGTACTTTGGAGAGCACGTAAAGCCGTAGGTCCTGCGCCTGATCTCTCTCCGATCGTGTCGGATTACCGTCTAATCGGACTATGAGAGTGAGGGAATAGAGAGTGCACCTGTGCTTGTGTATACACTTGGACACTATAATCCCGCCCTGCGCAGATGATTAGGCTCCGTTGAGACTGACACTCACGAGATGACAGAGTGTAGTGGAAAGATGGAGAGGCGCTCTAATTTTTATTATCAGCCTATCAAGTTCATTGCTGAACATAGGCCTCCTCATAGATTGCTTCCTGAGGACTGTGATACCATGCCTTATTACCAGTAAAAAGGGTTTCTGGTTCTCTTCACTTACAATATGCAACACATCAGGTTTAGATTCACAATAGTTCTTACAAGTATTACGACAACAGTAATTTTATTTAATAGATAATGCAATTCCTCTACATTTTTTAGCTATGTTTCCCTTAGTATTATCCTCACATACCACAGCAAACAGGGACTTATATAAGAGAATGAATAGCATTTTAAAGCATATTATACCATCTTGAAAAACTGGCTCCCATTGTTCCATTGGCCCTACAGCGTCAGATCTGCCAATGACCACTCCATCCTTAGAAACTCCTAGATATTTGCCATAACCAGATTTAAGCGCGAATTTGTTCTCTCCAGCAGGAAAAGCAGTGAATATCTCTTCTGGGGAGGGCCCATCGCCCTCGTCGTGTGGTGCTCCGATTGTGAACAAGCCTGGTAGAAGAGGATATATTAAATTTGTTAAAAACAGTTATTGGGTTTTTCAGTAAAGAAATTCTTAGTAACAGACCGGAGTCAGGAATCCCCAACTGGCTTGGACAACATATAGCGCATATTATGCAATACCTGAAATATTTACATTGAGAATATTATATTTTAATATGGAAAGTTTAAGCTCTTTTAAATAATCATTATTAGATTACACTAATAATGATTATTTGTAGCAGTGAGAATAAGTTTTTTTTTTTATAGGATAAGGGTGACAAACGAGCACACAGTCCACCTGATGATAAGTGGTTGCTGTGGCCCATAGACATCTACATCTATCCTCTGTTACAAATCAAAATGTAGATGCGTTGTCACCCGTGAGGACTAAGATGGAATGCCTCATTTCCAGTAAAAAGGGCCTCCGGTTCTCTACACTCACCATACAAAACACAGCAGCGTTAAGCTGCTATTTTACGTTGGTATTCTGTGAGAGTGTGGTCCTTCATGGGTCGAGCTGACCCATTCGTGCTACAACTATAATATAGCTGCAGCATGGCTCTACCACATATAAAAGTTGTTTGATGCAAAAAAAAAATTTTGATTAAATCTACAGCATCAACATTATTACCTAAGAATAAGTACAAATATTAAACAAATTTACCTGAAGTTCCATCCTGATTATATGAACAACTTATTCCGAGATAAAGTGTTTCCCACCCACCTCAGGTAAACCCTAAATAGTGTAAAATCCTAATTAATTTGATTCTGAACATAATGACATATTATAATAATAATAAATTTATTCATAAGAAGTATGGTACAAAGATGTTTGTATTAAATAATAAAATATCACATACTTCACCAATTTTGGTATATGTAAAGTTATGATTAGAAAATTTTGATATTAACCCTTTAAAACATGATCAAAGAATTAACAGCGTTTAACAGTCTGACTAAAATTGTTTTTCCAAAAGCCACTTTAATAAATTACCTCAAAATCGATTATAATCTAATTACCTTATTTAATTTGAAATTATGTTTAACACTTGAATAGCCATCACATAACAATTTTTTGAGTACAGACTAGTTTTTAGTGAAAGCAAAATATTTTATTCTCTATATCTGGTACTATATTTTACTGTATCTTTTAATTTAAAAAAAAATGAGAGATACTTTTTTCCGAATGTTGAAAGTTACAGAGTCATACAGAGGGGGGAGGGAGACATATTTCATACTAACCATATCCAATGCAATGAGATAGAAGCTAGGGTGAAATGAAGAAAAAAGGACTTTGACAAGCCATATAGATTCAATATCCATTAATTTGTGTTTCCACACCAATGTCAACTGGGATTCAAGTCCCAAACCCAAAACCAGAAACTAAATTGTCTGCCCATATCAAACGATAGAAGTAGATGAAGAATAAAACATGTAGAAAATTGTGCACAAACCATTATCCAACGCAGATACATATGTGTTTTTGCCAAACTCAATTGATATTGATCCAGTTACATCTTCAATCTTGCCAGCCCTCCACCAACCTCCATGTTTCACACAATCCTCATCAACATTTAACTCATTACTTTTGTCTTTCTTCTTGTGTTTCCTTTTCTTTGCTCTGTAGAAAAATTATAATTTTCTCAGGGATGCCACTTCTAGACAAACTTACTTACTAGATAAACTTTTGAGGAATCAATGAAATATATAATAATGTATACAAGAATCACTTGATTAAATTATAGGATCATATTCTGCCCCTGCCCCCCCCCCTCATCATATTATATAACATCATGTAAGGTATTTTTTTATTATAAATATTATTAAATTATGAGATTCTATCTTGAATACTAATTTTTATTACTGCATCTAACCTGCTACTTTTCTAGATAATCCAAATTGTTATTTTAGGTGAATAATAATTCTGCTGTTTAAGCTTTTATTTGCAATAACAAATAGCAGCCTTTGTGACACGGCCATTTGCTTTAATGTTACATTTAAATTTTCACATGCAATACAGCAATACAAACATTCTACCTCCAATATAAATCGCCTGTACTATAAACTAATCTAAATTTGAAAATTACTTATGTTCATTGTTCAAATTATGTTATTTATATAACAACATGTCTTATATTTCATATTTGTGATTTAAAAAAAAAATATTTTTTCAATCATTACAGCACAGATACACGTAGACCTCCCTATAGATGGAATTTTGCCATACTTGCCACGCTAGACACGCAAAGTTGTCAACTGCAATTTTGGGTTGGCTATAGACGTCTGGTACTTGATTTTCATTATATTTTCAGTTAACTTGAACCTTTTAAACTACTTTTTGATGTCAGATATGCGTTTTGAATTACGATAAAAATAAATTTCACTAAAGATTGTTTATAACGAAATGAAAATATGTCAATTTGGTCTAGTATTATGAAGTAGACGTCGAGTACTTGATTTTAATTATGTTTTCAGTTTAGGAGGTTTGTCAGGGTTAACCTGGAACCTTAATTATGATAAAAATATAAATTTCACTACCTTGAAATTGCATATAACAAAATGGGTCACCCATAAAAAAGTTAATTACTCGGATTCAGACCATCTATTTTTGAAGATGGGACTCATTCATAACAAATTGAGTCACAGTGGAGAGCAGTCAATAGATTTTTCAGAAAACAAAATTATAACAATTCACATTACATTGTTTCATTTACCACTATCATAGCAGAGTTTAGGGAACTGACTTTTCAGACAACCTAACCTTACCTTCACGTAGTCCGCACTCACAAAATGCGTCACAGTAGAATAAATATGCTGCTTGTGTAGCAAATCACAGGCATCCATGCTTAACTCCGAAGCTTCCGCTTAATGCTAGCCTCAGCCACTACGGCTCACAGGGGCTGCTCTCCCTCCTCACCTATGTGTTTACATAAACACTAGGGGTGGGGCAGACGAGACTATGTGTAGTCACCCCGACTACACATAGTCTCGTCTGCTCATTTGGTTTTAGTCAGATTCGACCTCTCTTATTTATAAAGTCAGGTTGTCCTAATCTCTGTCATGATAGTGGTAAATGAAACAATATAATGTGAATTATTATAAGTTTTGTTTTCTGAAAAACCTCTTGACTGCTCTCCACTGCGACTCAATTTGTTGTGTATGAGTTCCATCTTCAGCCACAAATGGATTTGAGTAATTAACTCTTTTATGGGTGATCCGTTTCGTTATATGTTATTTTTAGTTACTGGAATTTATTTTGATCATAATTAATTCCAACACCCTGACAAATCTCCTAAACTGAAAACATAATTAAAATCAAGTACCAGACGTCTACTTCATAACACTAAACCAAATTCACATATTTTGTGTTATGTTATATGCAATTTTTAGTTAAATTTAGTATTATTGTAATTAATTCAAAACGAATTTCCGACAAAGAACAATAGTATAAAAGGTTTAAACTTTATCCTGACAAGCCTCCGAAACAAAAATATAATTAAAATCAAGTACCGGACATCTATAGCCAACCCTTGCAACTGATTATACTGATGTTCACTCTGTTTAGAATCATTTACGAATAAAGTGATGTTTTGAAGGGGATATCAGGTTGGATTTGTGCATAAAATTTTCCTATAGACTACTTTCTTTCCAAGGAGAATTTCAATCTGGCGTTTGATGGACTCTCGCAATGCAAAAAAGATCATGAGTTTGTTGCAAAATGCATTAGGCTTTCCCTATATTCCAACGCAAGTGTCTCATTATGTAATTATTCTGAGGTTCTAACTTACTTTGGTTTATCTCCTTTTAATATTAACTTTCCTCGTTTCACAGCAGCGTATTCATCACCCATAATTTCGTTTATTTTAATTCATAGATAAATATATATGTAGCAAGTTTTAATTTTGTTTATTAATCTTTTTTTTTAAACTAGCTTTACAGCTCTGGGTTCTAGCCCTTCTGAGCCTTTTTATAAACTTAAGATTTTTTTATCACAGACTAATATAAGTTTTGATTTTAATTGAGTTTTTGTTGGTTTTTTGTGAAATAAATATTTAGTTTATATACAACAACCAATGGGTATAGTAACTGTCCTATACACAGCATCATATTAGTCTGTGCCTATACAGGAAAACAACCAACATGAAAATTAATCGTTTTGGCCTAAAGGTCTAGATGCCAGGCCATAAACTCCAAAAAAAAAACAACCAACATGAAAAAATAACAAACATCAACCATAGACTTAGTACCTCAATATAGGCTTGGCCAAAAAATATCGATACATCTGTACTGTACTAATGGATGTCGCTCAGGGCTCGATTCTCGGCCCATTCCTATTTCTAGTGTATATTAATGACTTACCTTCTCTTGTAGGGGATAATCATGATATAGTATTATTTGCTGATGATACTTCCTCGATTTTTAAACTGAAACGTCAATCATTTATATGTGACGAAGTGAATAATGCTATATCAAAATTAGTGATTTGGTTAAACATTAATAATCTACATTTAAACGGAAATAAAACCAAAGGTATTAAATTTACAACAACGAATGTTAAAAATCAGAGTACCAATGTGTTTCTAAATGGGGAAGAACTGAGCCCTGTTGAATCCACTGTTTTTCATGGCATCACTCTCGACGCAAAGTTTCAGTGGGGCCCCCATATGTTCAAACTAGCAAGCAGACTAAGTTCTGCAGCCTATGCTGTAAAAAAGATTAGAGGTCTCACTAGTGTCGAGACAGCTATATTAGTTTATTTCAGTTATTTCCAAAGCATAATGTCTTATGGGATTTTGCTATGGGGGAATGCGGCTGATTCAGAAACTATTTTTGTTTTACAGAAGAGTGCCATTAGAGCTATTTACAACCTAAAACCGAGAGAGTCTCTTAGAGATAAATTTAAAGAAATAAATATATTAACTTTGGCCTCTCAATATATTTACGAAAATTTAATGTATGTTCACAAAAATAAAGGAAGTTTTAGTAAAAAAGTGATGTATATTCTGTAAACACTAGGAATATGCACAAGCTAGTAATACCAGTATCTCAACTCCACAGAGTCAGTAATTCATTCTTGGGGCAATGTATACGCCATTACAACAAGGTCCCGGAAAGGGTACTGGCTCTCTCTACTATAATCTATATTAAAAGTTAGGGTTATTATAGTATAAATGAATACATGGTATATAATAACCCCTGGGAATGAGGTGGTCGCTTCCAAACTGTTTCTAAATAAATTTTGTACTTATATAGTTTGTACAACCATTTATGTAAAATTTGCTTTTAAAAAAAAGTCCCGCTGGGTTTCTTGCTGGTTCTTCCCAGGACAGAGGTTTTTTTCGAACCACTGGTAAAGTAAAAAAATGACTTTCAATAAGAATTACACATGTGATCTATATTGCATAAAAAATTATTCTGTTCTATCGTAATATCGATATTTTTATTAAAAAATATTTTTGATTGGCTTTCACACTGAGATATATCTTTTAACTAGTGTGCGTTCGTCATTGGTCATTGGATTACCCTCTTAACCCCGTACACCGTTCTGCGGGGGCGCGGAACGGTGTGCGGGGTACAGGGGGTGAAATATAATATGAAAATATCGTTCGGTCGATCGAAAAAATATTTATAGCTTGAGATGTAATATATATTATAGCTCAGTGTAAACAGTTTCATATGAAGTGTATGGTGAGCGATATAAATTTATATATCGAGATGTAATATATATTATATAATATCCCATAGTGAAAAGCGGGCTACAGACAGCATAGACTTTGTATCTTATAGACTAAACATTCCGTGACGTCATCAGCGTGTGAAAGGAATGCACGTATATAGTTAGACATAAGAGTAAGGGAGAAGCAAATCTATATTTCTTGTCTTTTTCTAGGTATGCGTTTTTGATTGTTTTCCCTCCTTTATTTGACATTAACGATGTCAAGCTCTTGTGAATAATATTGATATTATAAGCAAACAGCTAATTGAATTTAGTGTTGTTTGTGGGTTTTAGTTATTAGGTAAGGTTAAAAAGATGGTAAGTTGTAGCATTTTAGGATGCAACAGCATCAGTCAACGAAAAATTGATAATATAACCTTTCATCGGTAAGTTTGTTTTGTGCTTACATTTGCTACTTGTACTGATTAATATCTATTGTTTTGAATATAAAGTGTAACATTTCATGTTTTTAATGAACTTTGTGATGTATTTTGTCAAATATTTGGACTCCCAAATTGTAAATTCTTCATGATAATGCTCCTTAATTTGAACGGTCATTCGAAAGCTTAAAGTCATAACAAACGTGTACTTTTTGATTTGGTAGGATTATAGAAACTTAAGGGATATCAGCGAGTACAATAATGTTTTCGCATTGTTCAATAATAATTGTTATTGTGATTAGTAGTTATGTCCATAAATATGAATCACATAATGTTATACATATACATACACTTTTATGTTCAGCTTTAAAGGAAACTCCTTATTGCCCTAAAACTCTTCAATCATTTTCCATATTACATAGATGTCACAAATAATATTATGTAAGTATCAACCTGAAAACATGTTTGGATTCAAGTACATAAACATTGGGCAAAGTATATTTAATTTCACAAAATATGTATTGCCTGAATCATCAGATGCACAAAACTTTATTGCATTCCATTAATTCTATTATACATTAGCAACAATTACATTACAATATTTATTAAAAAATAAATAAATATGTCATACTAATATAAAAATAAATATAAACATTGATAAAATAATAAATAAATAAATAAGTCTTAATCTTAAGGTACACAATAACACAACAACATAAGATAATATTCTCAATTAATGATGTAGAAAAAATTTGATGATAATATAATTACCGTTACCATTAGTCAGTATCAAAAGTCAAAGTTATAGTTTTTGTGATAGTTGCCTAGCTTGGCAGGAGAATTGGCAACTGCAGTTATTTGAAGACAAACTGTGTGGGAGGCTTATGTTCAGCTGTGGAGGACATAACTATGTTAGGCTGTAAATGTATTAATTAACAATATCTAAAGCTTAATATGTACATAATTTTTTTAAATGTTTGGTATGAGTAATATTATCATTACATTTACATATACTTGCTATTTAATTAAATCAATTGATATTGTATTAATTGTTATAGGTATTGTATTTATGCACAGATACCCATACTTGATTTTTTTTTGTTAAATGCCTTGATATAAAAGTGTACTATATATTTAATATATTAATTTCTTTTAAATATATTATTTCACAGCTTTTCTAAGGAATCAACTATCCATAACTGTTGGATATTCGCTACTGGTAGTAATTATAGGTAACCAACAAAACTTAGCAGTATATGCTATAAAACATTATGAGCCTCATTGTTTTAGGTGGACTAAATATACTTAACTTATGTAATTTATAATATAATTAAGATATTTTTTTAAATGTTATAATTTCTTGTTGTATCTTGTTGTTTCTCCATAAGTGATATAAGTTTGACCTTCGTAGTTGTTATGATTTTTGACATTGTTCTGTATGTATTAAAAACTGACTAGCATTGCTTATTTTATTTTCAAATGCTGACATTCTGTATTATTAAGAGTTGTAATAATTTGGTTGCATGACAATGACATAATATTTACTTATAGTTGGATTGATTAAACATGAGTCCTCATCTACAAATGTTGGAACTTTATCTGTACTACCATGTTTTATGCAAATAAAGATTTAAATAAAAGAAATAAATAAATAATTTAAAGTCCTGACCTAAATATACAAATGAATAATTTATTATGCAATAATAATTGTAAAACTGACTGGGAATGCCTACCACCCTTAATCCCTTTTATAAAGGTTTTATAAACAATAATGTGTAAATAAATTAAGAAATAAATGTAATAATTATGATAATTTCTATTTAATTGTCATAAATAATGTAATAAAGATCTTTTTCACAAGAGATAAGTATTACCTATCTCAGTATAATTTAGGAGTTGTACCTTATTATTTATACCATTAAAATGTATTATATATATATATATATATATATATATATATATATATATATATATATATATATATATATATATACCCTTCTAATCCGATTCTAACAACCAGCACCCAAGAATTCCTGCCATGTAAAGTATAAATCAAGTTTACAAATGCATATTTTTGAGAAATTCTAAAGCTACTCAAACCAAGAATTACAGGGAATGCTCTAGAAAGAAGACAAAAATTTTGTTAAATTTGTTTATTAATGTGATGAAAAATTTATAAATAATCGTATGTTTATTTTAATGTCATTGAATTATATTTAATATATGTGTTTTAATTTGTTTTATTTAATGTAACATTGTTAATATTTCTTAATGTTGTGTAAGTACACAAAATTTAGTTCTTTTTCCTTTTTATATTTCTATATACATTCATTTGAATAGAATATATATCTTTACAGTCTATCAAAAGTCTACTGTTGAACATAAACATGATTATAGTTATTTGACTTAGTTTCAACGCTTGGAAAGCGGGTTGTCAACCACTGTTTTTTTTTATTTAGCTGTTATCAGGAAGATGCTGCTGTTTATCTTCTTTGATGTTTCCCTATGTCGCCTCATACACCACCCATGGAATGATATGAGATAGCAGATAATCTTACACTGCATGGTAAATTAAAATAGAATATTATAAAACATTCGTTTTTATTTTATATACTAACATATTACAAAAACAAACCCTTTGTTGATGCTTTACAACGTATATTAACTAAAACATTTTACCACCTTAACCATTAGGTAACATGATTAAGCCACCTAACCATAAGTAAGTCACCTAAAAAGGCCTTCCCTAGATATACTCATAGGATGACTTTTACCATAGTTGCCACGCCTGCGTGAAAATATGCGTTATGCTGGTTGGCCACCGCAGTTATTTATTATTTTAAGTTTACATCGGGAAAGTGCTGCTGCCCCATCCCCATCTTGCATTATTGCTTACGACGCGGGGTAATATCATTCCGTATACAGACAAATTCTCTTGTACGCCACAACTTGCCGCACACAAGACACTAACTTAGCAAATCATGCAAAAAATCGAGGGAGTAGCCTCTTTACCGTGTTTTGTACTACAAAACCTTAGTGGACAGCCTTTCCCTTCGGGAGGTCTGTGTTCAGCACTGAACTTGTGATGGAATGGTATGTTAAAACATTATTGTTTTTTTTTTGTAAAAACAAAACTCGACACGAGGAAATTTTTGTTTATTATTTAATATTTTTATCCTTAATTAATATTTAAGTATATTCATAACATATTGTTATTTATTAGCAATATCACACTTTGTGATAGTAGCGTCTTCACTTAGTGCCGTCGAAATCCAAAGAGTTTATTGAATGTCCAGTAAAATCGTCTTTTCGCCGTTGAATACATAATGATGATTCTGTTTTTACGCCGTTTCCGCCCGTAGTTTTTAGTCACAGAATGTATTTTCAAGAGAAATTAATTAATAACCTGAATTATAAAAGAACATTTTTTTATGGTAACAATTAAGTTTTTTGTATGAATGTAAGTGCTGTGAATATAAATAAACCCATAACGGGGGAAATGGAACAATATCTGGTAACCCAGTGAAAGTACCTCGCGCCTATTTCTACCTCAAAAGCATACGCGAATGCTTTATCTAGTCAATCCTCAATCTACGACAGACAGAGATAGTCATAGATAAATAAATATATAGCAATTGTTTTATAACTGCCTTTACAGCTCTGGGTTCTAACCCTTCTGAGCCTGAAGTTACAATGTATAATTATCCTTCATAGTACACTGCTTTTGATGCGTCACCTTGTGCAGCCCTTGGAAGATTTTGACGGCAACTTGAGCCAACAGACAGTCGGCGATGGTATTTCAAGACGCTTAAGCAGACAGATACCAGTATGTAGCAGGGATAGTGACTTTCATAGATTACTGTACCTGTACTGTCATAAACTAACTAGAAACACTCACGCGTGTACTGTATATAGTTCGCTAGCACTTCTTATTAGTTTGTGGTATATGGGCGGATTTTTTAAAAGGTGTACCTAAGTTAAAATGAAGGTTCCAATTTTTTATGCATTTTTTTTTCAATATATGTCGTTGAATTCATAAAATATATTAAGACATTTTTAAGAATATGTATAATATATTTGAATAACTGCCATAAATTAATTATAATAACTTAATTAAATTCAGTAAGAGGATTTTGGGTTCCACTGAATAACAATTTAATATCTAACACAGTAAATTAAATAAAACTGGTTCAATGAAATGCATTTTTTTATTTACACAATATAAGTTAAGATGAAAAAGAAAATATTTACTTGTGACAAAGGAATTAAAAATTAAAATAATCATATGTTTATATCCTCTGACTAACTTGTTGACTATCAGTTGCGCGTTTTTCTTTGTAACTATTTAAATAGCCATTTATTACTGTTTTGATATATAATTTTACAGACTAATAAACTCGTCTTCATAACAAACATTTAAATATTATTAACTGAACATGAAAGCGAAAATAAGCCCTTACTTTTGGATTTTTGTTAGTGGGAAAGTTAATCACTGGAACGTTGAAGATAGTCAGTTGAAAAGTGAGGTCTCTAATTACAATGAAGGATTTTTTTGCCAATTTTAATTTCTTGACAAAAATATTTAAATTATTTTGCATAGTTAAAATATGTAGGAAGTATAGTGGGTATAGTACAGAGACTGATTTTGTAGTTAGGAATAATAATTAATTCGTTTACACGAATTAATTATCCAACGAGTCGAGGACAAACTAGTAACGGAATACGACAAGCGCACCGTTCCACGTAAGCGCCGAGACTGTCCTAACGGCGGCAGCTCCGTCCGTTTTATATAAGCTAAACGGGCGCCACCGCAGGTACAATGGTGCAGGTGTGCGGAGCACGTGTTATTTACAAGAATTCTGTCTAGCTACACGCCGCCGCACGTGCAATGGTGCACGTGCCGTCACGGCCATACTGACATGCGTGCGTCCTCGCACGCGCTCCATCACAATCTTAGTTATCTGTAGACAGAAAAACATCGTTCGATTCTCCTGACAAAACATCGTCTGGTCCGGTCTATATTGACCCTTCAGACTCGGGTGACAGTCAGTTTTGTTCCGGCAGTAAGCCCTACAAAACTTTAATCATCTTTATGTTAGATCGGAATGATTAGTCTGTAGCTTTTTCTATTTTCTATTTTTTTTTCAACTACTGTTTTCGCTAGTCCGAAATCACTATTCCCTATAGCTATATCACTGGACCGGCACAAAGCCCTGCAATGATAGTAAGAACTATTCTTTTTTCTTAATCTCTTTTTTTTTAGTACTATTTATGCTAGTCCGGAATCACTATTCCTTGTAGCTATATCATTGGACCGGCAAACGCCCTGCAATGATAGTAAGAACTACATTTTTTTCTTACTCTCTTTTTTTCAATTCAGTATAGAACAGTTACAGACCAACCATACCGCAAACATGTCCCCGTCACAATCACCCAAAAGTGTATCGTGAGGCACGTAGTCACACGATAACACCTAAGTGCGTAAAACAACAGCAACACGACACATATCCCAGTGCAGCACAGACCAGCCTCCCTGCAACTTCATGTTCTTTTCCTGCACTAGAATAATTACTTCGCTAGAGTGTTGCAACGTCTCTAGTATTTTCTAGATGCACAGACACGGCTACCTCTGACTGTCGCACGTCCTCGTGCGGTTGACAGTGAACAGCATACGGTCTATCAGTTATCACCACCTGCTAACAGATATTAACTCTTGTTAAATATTACAACGGTCGACCATCCCAAACTTCATTTAAGTCTGCAACGCGCCGATATGGCTACCTCCAGGCAAACGCATTACAGCTTTTCGTTCTGCTGCGTTCGTGCCACATTCGCGCCAGCAAGCCGTCGCGCTGTACTAGCGCTAGCGAATCGTCGCACTGCTTTGCAAAATTAAAAGAAATCGAGATAAATGTATTGCAAACCATGGAATTTCGAGCTTCCAAAATTCATCACATATTCTCTTAAGAAACTGCAACTGTATGACATTTAAAAACATTGCAAAAAAATGTAAACTACGTGTAGAGACAGATACCACAACATATTTCGAAGCGAAGGAGGCAACTGCGCAAAATCTACAGCGCCAAAGCACCATTTTTTCGGCGGCCGCTTAAATTGCCCTGCCGTAAGATCAGCCGATAAGTAACCGACTGTAGCGGTGTAGGCTCAATCTAACCAGCGCTCGGCCGTACCTGACCATGTTCGATTAGCCATCACAACGTCTTCCTCATTGATAATTGTTGTAGAGACTTCTACGAATCCCTCGACATCAAACCCCAATCTTGTCAACGACACAATATTCAGAGCAAA